CTCTAAGTTTTGTAAGATAACAAAACAGATTCATGTTTGTAGTATGCAAACAAGAATATTTCATCTGATAATCTTTACTTGGTTTTAAATCCGGATTGAATTGTTTTTTTTAAAACAATCATAAACCCAGAAATCTTATCCGCTAGACTAAAAAAATTAACAAGAATCTTGTTCATGAATTTACAAGTTACAGAATTTGAAATGTAATACCTTATCGATATGATAAAGAGTAATTAATGTTTATACGGATTAACGAAAACTCGAAAAGCAATTTCAATTTGTAACAAAAAGTAGATAATGGTGTTATATTTTGTAACGGTCATCTACTTTATCATCACAAAGTAATAACTGATTAAAAAAATTAAAATCCGATACTAAAAAACACAGAGAAATAATTTTAAAACCCTAAAAATCCCAATTCCAAAGCTTTACGCTTTTTTCCCCGCTATCTTCTCAGTGATCGTCCCCACACCACGCTCCTAAGTTTCAATGTCGACCTCTTAATATCCGATCAAAAACCCTCACGAAGCAATTTCTCTTCGTCTCTTTCGCTAGGCATTGAAATTTCGGATTATGGGTTGCTTCGGTGGTCGGAAGAATCGCCGGCGTCAGAAACGCAGTGAATCTGATCAGACTAGAGAAAACGTAAGTTTCCTGAGCAAAATTTCTGATGTGTTATGCTCTTTTGTGAGATTTCTTTGAATCTTTCTGTTTTGTGAATTGCTTGAAATACGTTATTTGTTATGCATAGAAACTTGGTGTGGAATCTGCAAAACCTGATCATCTGAACGATAAAGTCCCCACGGTTGAGGAAATCCCAAAAGCTTATGTGATTCCAATCACTGAGATTTGGTGAGTGTGATTGATTGATTTTGGTACTATTCCTCTTGATTCGAGCTAACAAATGTTGGTTTCTCGCAGTGACGAGGCTGAAGAAAAATGCAGTCCAAGTCCTACTAGGAAGAGAGTCACTTTTGACTCTGAAGTCAAAACCTATGAACACATTGTGTTACAAGAATCTGTTGAACTTTTGGAAGAGAAGAAAGAAGAGGTCAAATCCGACGAGAGGTCAATGAAGTCAAGCAAGACTTGTTCTGAGAACAGTGAAGTTGCCTCAAACTCCACAGATACAAGAATTGCAGAGAAAGTGATGATGAAGTAGAGGAGGATGAGCTAGACTGTGACGAAAGCGATCTAGATGATGATGAAGAGTATTATAGTGATGATGGATCTAGTGAGGATAAGTTGCATAAGCTAACCAAGGAAGTTTACACTGAGGAGATTGAGGATGATACAGAGGAGATTGATGCAAAGCTGAGAAGGTCTAATGAGAGTGTTAAAGATGGAAACCACTATGCCCAAGGAGTACTTAACCCGGTTGAAAATCTCACTCAGTGGAGATCCGCTAAATCCGAAGGGAGAACAATGCAGAAACAGTCTCAAAAGGAGAACTCTAACCTCGTCTGAGATCAAGAAGACAAAAGTGATTCCTCTTTTTCGGGCACAGAACCGAAATCCAAGAAACCGAGAAACCAAGAATTGACCGTTGAAGCTAGCCTTTCAACTTGGTTATCAACTTCTGAGACGGGTAGTGAAACAGTGTCTCTATGGAGACCCCTACACCCGAGAAAAACAAGTCTAGCTGCTACTCAAAACGGGGTATAACCAGCCATGACGATAGACCTGTACTATGTGCATTGACGTTGGATGAGATCAAACAGTTCTCGGCTACATCTACGCCAAGGAAATCACCGAGCAAGAGTCCTGATGAGACACCTATTATTGGCACAGTTGGTGGTTATTGGGGTAATCACATTAAGGCAATAGATTGTGGCTCTGCATCTTCATTCAAGGGAATACCAAATACCACCAGCAAGTACAGAGAGGTACGTATAAACAAGTAATAACAACCTATGATACTCTGATTTCATCGTGCTTTCAAACCAACTGCCATGAGTGTAATTATCTATAAAGAGTTCTTTCTCTAGAGAATTGACATTTTTTGTGGAAGTGCAGGACAATAAAGTGAAATGGCATTCAACACCTTTTGAGGCAAGACTTGAGAAAGCTTTGGACAACAGAGATAAATAATGGTACTGTAAATCATTTGTTGTTTGTGCTTGATTTTGATTTGATTTCTCTGTGTAACATATAACCATTCTATTTATTCGTTTGGTACTGATCAATAAACCTTTGTTATCCATAAGTCTCTTGAT